AGCCAGCCGACAAAGCTCATCCACTCACTCACGACGACGAGGTCTGTGAACGAGCGAAAAAGGACCAGTTTCGTGTGGATATGGTGGTAAAATAAGTGTCGTTACTCACTATTCTGGGTTCATGGTGTGTGTGCGTGTGAAGACCGGGGTGTCTCTGCTCTGTTCCGCTAGAGGTCTGACACTGCTGCTGCTGCTGCTGCTCCTTCCTCTTCTCTTCTCGCTCTGTGGAAAAGAGACGATGATGACTCGCACGTCTGGAATCCAGAGAGAGGCACTGTGTGAGAGGAGAGACGGGTTTTATTGCTCTTCTCTTTACTTTCCTGCCGCCGTCCGAAACGCTTCGAGTCGTCTTTATATTCACTAGACTCGCTCACTTAACTGACATCACTCTGTTGAGTAAGAAAGGCGAGTTTTTTTGCTCCTTTCTCTTTCTTCCTTCCTATCTGCCCCTGGCGTACGAGTACAAGATGGCTGCGCAGGTGCGGCAGTGACATCAGATGACGTGGCGCTAGAGACCGAGCTCAAAGACTTTTCAATAAAAAAAAAAAAGCTAGGCAACACTTAAGCCATCCTGTACGGTTTCTGGGCGCATCCTGTACGGTTTTTGGGCGTAGCCTTTGCACAGTTTTTTAATTTATGAATCATTAAAACAAAGGCAGACAGCATACATCGGGTTGCTTATTAGTCGACAACATGTCAACATTGTAATATAACATGTAATATAACACACACACACACACACACACACACATACACTTCTTTCCCCCCTGGGGTCTACTTATAATGTCTGTTTGGGTTTACGTACTAAAAACTTAATATTTCATTTCCAGCCTCTTTTTTCTCTTAGAATTAAAGAGGCTGCCTTTTTTTACTGTGCCTTTAAGACTGATGTATGTAAGTGACCTCTATTCTGATTTGCTGCTCTCTGTTGTGTCTCATTCATTGTGCTGGGCTGAAACATTCCTTACAACTTCAGTGTGAATGGGCGGAGCTAAACTGCTGTAGAGTGAACAGGCATGTATATTTTAATACGTTGGTTTTCCTGACATCACAAAAAATGAATTGAAGACAGGCTGTTTTTGCAGCTATTTGCTTTTTTGTGCTGAATGGAATTTTAAAATTCTCCCCAGTTTAGACAGTTTCATCCACTAGTTAGGTCTTTCCCCAATCACACAATACTACCAAGCCGGAGGATGAGGGCTAGCACTTCCTCCAAGATGTGAGGTCAACCACCATATCTTTACAAATTGCTGCTAACACAATGTTATTGGACAGTTTGACATGTTTGGAGGACAAAGCTATATGTCTGTGCTATTACATCAGTTAACAGACATCTGCGTTGGCTAGCATTGCACTGAGAGATGGGGGAGAAGGAGGACAATTTTACCCACCCAGAAAAAGCAAGGACAGTTATGCTGTTTTAGACTCCCAGCAGTGGATGACTGTGGCATCACTGAGGATACATCAAGCTGTTTTAAAAAAAAGGAAATTCAGGTTTCCATGACATGGCACTCCACTGAAAAAGTTTAATCAAAGAGACTCATTTCCTGTATCACTTGCTCCTTTACTCAGTTTTATTATATTGCAGTTCACTCCTCTTTGCTGACATTTTGGTGCACCTTACAACATGGTGCAGATTTTTAAGAACATGCAAGCAGAGTTGGAGAGGTGAGGGAGAGGGTTTAGGGGTCTGATTGGTACAGGGCAGGAGAACACCGCAAAAGAACCTTAAGCACTACTGATGGAGAGTGAAGAGGCCTTAGGATCTTCAGCTCCTGTCTTGTTATCAAATTCCTTCATTCTAATCACAGTTTTTTGTGATGATTGCAGTTATTTAAGCTGACGACAACCATTTTCCACAGTCGTTAGATTTTACAGTCTGCAACAGACTAAATGTGAATTGGGTGTCATGGGTTGAGGCAAGCCAATGTATATAAAAAAAGCAGTAAATGCATTCACATAATGGGGCTCATGAAAACAAAAAGGTTCTCACGTCTAAGTTTGTGCTCTTACTCGTTTAGAGGATGTTTAGAGAGTAATGTTTCTGTATTTGTTAGCTAAGTGTAACATTTTTAGCATTGAATGGATATAGATTATCTCCTGTAATCAAATTTGAATCTTTTTAACATAGAATACTTTGCTTAAGAATATTGTAGCATCCCACTACTGACACTGCCGTAGGATCGCGGGAGGCATGGCCATGGAGAGCGGCTACGTGCAGAGGCTGTCAGGAGGCTCATGATAGGAGAGACTTTATTGTAAATAAGTTGCTGTTGTTAGCTTAATGATGTGCACATGTTATTTGTGCTATTCTGTGTTGGGCTGTGGGACAGTTAGTTCAGTTTAAGTGCCTACCATCGAGGGAAAGTGTATGGCTAGAAGCGCCTGCTATATCAGCAAAGTGTTTGCTGTGTCTTATTTTATGCTGAGGACACAATACATTTCTTGGCCTTTGTGTCTCTCTAAGGCTTGTGGCGCGTTCCTTGATAACAATGCTGTGACATGAGATAAGGACTTGTTTATGCCCATCTCCAATCTATATATGGCAGCTGCCTATGGTACAGGAGTTGGAACTGGGTATCATATAACTGGGTGAAAGGTGACCATTTGGGAATCTTCAGAACCTTGGGCCTAACCGAGAGCGACTGTTGGTGATGTAATTAGGATGCGCATTAGGTACACCATCTTTATTGTTGAATCTCACCAGTGACACTGTGGTCAATTATGTTTCTGAACCACTCTAAGTCTACATTATTGTGCTTTTGATTTGTACTGATGATGAATCACCAATTGTATATGTAGATTGTGTAATTTACATATGATTTGCATAAAGCTATGACTGTTTTGACCAAATCTGTGTTAGAGGGGAAAGACATCTGCGGGTGCTCTCTCTCTCTCTCTCTCTCTCTCTCTCTCTCTCTCTCTCTCTCTCTCTCTCTCCCTCGCTCTCCTCTTAGAGTTTTAGCCTGCAGATTTTCTTTTAGTTTTTGCCTTAGTGAAGCGTTATGTGTGCATGTGTGGACGTGTTAGCTTATTTTTATCCATTTTTATCTATTCTTTTCTTATTGGGTTGTCTTTTTTATGTTCTTCTAATTCTGAAAGGCATTTTTCTTATTATTACAACTTTAGAATCTGTTCTACTTTCAAATTCATTCTATTTGACCACACAGTCACTTTGAAAATGCACAGCTTTCTCTTTACAGTTTTTGGGGTATATCATGTCGCAGCATCACAGAAACTGTCATACATTTCTCAATTTTTATCTTAGTCATGCTGTGGTAAATTACCCAACAGCATGTGTGCAGGCAGAATGAGTGGGGAAGAACATGTAGCTTTGCTTACGACTAATTCTGTGAAATTGTAGACATTTGTGTGAGTGTTCATGTACAGCAATGTGCACACAGTACTTAATCAACAGTACACCCAGTGTTAGCTACTAGGTAAACACTGCTAACAAGTAAAGTAGCTAATCAGCCAATCTGATCACTTTAGGCATGTATTTCAATAGTTGCAAACAATGAACAAGAAAAGAAAAATCGTTAATTGCACTTTTTATATGACAATTGTCAGCTACAGTTTCATGACAGGCTTAGAGAAAGCAGTGCCTCTACTATAGGTCACAAGCCTGGCGAGTGGTTTACCATCCTTAGGTTGTGCTCCAAGCGTATAGGCTTACAGTCAGACTGTATGGAGATTTATTGCGGACTTGGTGAAATCCGTTATCATGACCTTACATTTGGATTGCTAGTGTTGTGCTAACTGTTGGTCACTGTGGCTGCTAGCATGGACCACTAAGTGTAGTATATGAAGGTTGACTGTAGTGTGACTGGTGATTTTGGCAGAGCTCCAGAAGACCAAATTAAGGTCATCAGCTATCTTCCACTTAGTCTAACATGGATGACTTTGCTGAGTACTTTGAAGGCAGAGCCTTGTCAGCGTTGTAGTGATGCTAATCATCACATGTCCCCACAGAAGTAAAACAATGGGCTTCAAGGCCCCATTTTGTACCTTAAAGGGCCCCTATCATGCAAAAGTGAATTTTCCGCACCATTTTTAAATAAAAGAGTTTGATATAGCATGTAAACACTGTTAAAATTTCAAAATATACCATAATATGAGTCCACCAACGTATTTACATATATCCACCTCTTCCACCCACAGCAGCTCAGCCCTGCCTATTCATACTTAAGTTATGAGAAGTGTTTCAGCCCGGCTGGCTTTTTAAATGAGGAACAATACAGGAGAGCCATAGCTCTGTCAGTTTTAAAGACATGACAACAACCATAACTAACAGTTTAATTTTAAGGGATGAAGAGAGGCTGAGAGATTGTAATGTAAAAATGAATTATGAGTATTTTGGTAAATGAAACCACACTACTGTTATAAGCGAACCAAAAAAAACAAGAAAAAACATTGGATATGGGCCCTTTAAATAAGTTGTAAATTTTAAATATAAAAACAATATAAAAAGTCTGGAGTCAAGACGAGGTGTATGGAGCCCATGTTACTTAACAAAAATGAATTGCAATGAAATGCTGTATATGTAATGCTGTATGTTCCCTAACAAAAGTTTAGCTGTTGCCAGACTGATTTCTTGGGCAGAAAATGTCAACAAAATGTCAAAGAACCACAGAAAAACATGCTCTGTTCCATCACCAACCAGTCACAGTACACACACCACATCCGACTAGACTACATCACTGGTTAGAGCTGTATGTGCAACCTAGAAATCATGTGGAAAGATATTATAAATACTGTAGGCACTGAATAAAAAGAATGCACCTTAACATCATGTGAAAATAATATAGGCCTGGTTTCAGCAACAGTGATTTATAGTTTACTTACACCTTCTATTTTGTTGCTGCTAAAGAATGTCATCTCCTGTTTGTGATGTTTGAATTTTATTTTGAAAATGGTCAGTATTATTACAGCAGATTATTAGTGTGCTAAAAAGTCATCTTTCATTAGTTTGGACGTTTGAAAAAAATGGTAACAAATAATAAAAATATATGCTCTTATTTTTGTGCATTTAACAACCACAGATAAAAAAAACATCCACACATACTTATATACACATCAGCCTACATTTAAAATAAAAGTTCCTGGAATGTTTCTTCACACTCACACATCTCATTTACAAAAATAGTTCTTTAAAGAACCATCTGCTGAATGGTTCTCTCATTGCTCCATTGCGGTCTACTTTGTGTTTTTATTGCACACCAGATATCCCTCTTCTTCTTCTTCCTCCTCTTTCTCTTTCATCCTGTCATCCTTATTTGGAGTGGTTGCACAGCTGACTGGGGCGGGCAGGTAAAGGTTCCCCACGGCTCCTTCAGGCACCGGTTCTGCAGCGCTGCTCAGGTTTGCGTTGGCTGCCTCCAGACCCTGGTTGATGTAGTGGGCCTCCATACTGGCCTCCAGCGGCGGAAGCTCAGACAGAAGAGCTTTCAGTGTCTGAGCCAGCTCTGAAAAACACGGCCGCTGAGAGGGCTCTCTGTGCCAGCAGCTCAGCATCACCTCATATCTGAGAGAGAAACAGGGAAAGGCAAGCAAACTTAAAGACAGAGAAAAGAGCCTTGCATTGCTGTCATGACAAAACTGCATCTCTAAATGCAAACCTTCCAGGAGATGGTAAAAAGCTTCTTAACTCTAATGTGTGTTATATGTAGTTTTATTCCAAGTAATATTTGGGTAATTTTTCTTTGTCAATTTGTGGTGAAATGTTCACACAATGTAAAGGGCAGCTGTTGTTTTCACATGGTATAAAAACAAAATCTGAAAGAAAAAATGGAGGTTTTGATGTTACAGTGACATTTTGCTTTCATCTGCTTCCTTTACTCACTTTCATTCACTGCTCTTACTTTTGGTTTCCTTATTTCTCAGTTGTAGCTTGTTGAAACAAGTGGATAAATTATGTTAAAAGTGCAACTGACACCACGTTTATGAATAGAAGAGAAAGTAGTTTATGATGTGAATTTCAGGTATTGTTGTGCAGGATATCTTTTTTTGCAGAATGTTATTGTTGCATGTGCAAGATTATTTTGTGGAATGTCACAGCTGTTATTTGGCTGCTTTCAATCATCACAGCAGTGATTTGGTCACATTAGATCATCACAGCTGTGACTTGGTGACTTTAGATCCTCACACAGTGATCTGATCGCTTTAGATCATCGCAGCTGTGATTCTGTCACTTTAGAACATCATAGCTATGATGATCTAAAGCAATCTCATCACAGCTATGATGAGATCACTTTAGATCTGGTCATTTTAGACCATCACAGCTGTGATGAGATCACTTTAGATCTGGTCACTTTAGATCACCACAGTTTTGATTTGGTTATTTTAGACCATCACGTCTGTGATTTGATTGCTTTAGATCCTTATACTGTGAACTGATCGCTTTAGATCATCACAGCTGTGATTTTGTCACTTTAGAACATTATTGTTGTGGTTTGGCTGCTTTAGAATATCACAACTATGATGATCTAAAGCGATCTCATCACAGCTGTGATGAGATCACTTTAGATCTGGTCACTTTAGACCATTGCAGCTTATTTTGTGATCGTTTTAGATCATCACAGCTGTGATTTAGTTGATTTAAATCATCACAGCTGTGATGTCACTATAGCTCACAACCTTGAGTGCTCTGATTATTCAATAGTTTTACAAAATGAAGAAAAAAGTAGAAATGTAAAGCCCAGAAACTCTGAACACTGTTTCAAATATATGTATTTAACATTTGGAAATTCTTCAGCCAAAAAAGTAGTTCCAGCGACTTGAAGTTACTTAGCAGCTAGAGGTCAGTGGAATGGTTCAGGTATAACAACAAAGGTAGGACATTTTAACCAATCAGATTGTGTGGTCAGAAACAGCTGTTGTGTAAGGAATGAGCAAGTATTCAGAGCACTCACAATTTGTCGTCACATTCGCCCTGTTTGAGTCGATAGCCTCCGTCCAGCATCTCCAGGAGTTCGTGGTTGGAAATGCCAGGGTAGGGAGTTCTCCCCCGGGATACGATCTCCCACATGGTCACTCCAAATGACCACTGGATCACAAAACAGTTAAAGGCAAAAGAGACATGACATAACATTTCTTAACCCTCAAAAGTTTAAATGATCTCTAATCACTGGTGTGGAGGGACTGACCACATCACTCTTGCTGGTGTAGATGGACTCAGAAAGGCTCTCTATGGCCATCCACTTTATTGGCATTCGGATCGCAACCTTCTGCCTGTAATAGTCACTGCTGATGATCTGCTTGGACAAGCCAAAGTCAGCAACACGTACACGCAGATCATCTCCCAACCTGTGTGTGTGGGTGGTTGTGAGTCAGACAGTGAGAGAGAAAGTAGTACTTATCAGAAAAAAGACAAACTGCCCTAGTTTAGTGTCATACAAAATGTCCTAGTTTGGTGTAATACTACAGACCCCCCACCACAGACTCACATGCAGTTGCGTGCTGCCAAATCTCTGTGCAGGAAGCCCTTGGAGCTGAGATATTCCATGCCCGTGGCAATGTCGACCATGAAGCGCAGCAGGCTCTGATGAGGCACAAACTGAAATGGAGTACACAATCAGTTGCTGAAATTGCAAGGAGAAGAAAATATTCGTTATGGTTTATATGATGCTATAGAACAGTGGCTCATGTATCAGATGGATCTAGTGTGCTGTGTGGAAACACCTGCTCGGTTATATATGTGTCTGTGTAGCTCAGTATGTCTTTGTGTAGGGATGAGCAGTATGATTTGTTTTTGTTATTTTGATAAATTACAATACTTCCATCTAAGGAAAAATATGTAAAGTATTTATTTGTGTGACAAAAATCATTAGATTAAATACAAATGAACATTAAAGTCAATGTCAATTAGAAATCACAGTGCATTTTCCTTCTGAACTGTGATGTATTTCGGAGTGAAACACCATACCAGGGAAGATCTCTGAGCTAGCTTAGTTTTTTTCCTGAAAAATAAGTGGGGGGTGGTGGGAGGTGGAGGTGAAACATGATATTATTCGTTACTATTATTTTTCGCTGCCCGCTGGGGCACAGTGACGTAATCAAAACTCAGAAAACATTATGAAGGCAGGCAAAAGTCACACCTCGATCAAAGGCCCATTTTGATTTCAAGATTACTGTAATGCAGTAAACTGCAGTAAATGTCACCATTTCCAAACCTCTCCTTGAGGAAGCCCAGTGTTTAAAGTAACCATCCAATATGTGCTTCAGCAAATCAGTCCTTCATTTAGCTAAATCAAGCATGCTGCTTACAAAATTGCATGCAATAGCCAGTTCCTCTGACTGTATTTTTACTATATAACTTTTTTAAAACAAGAAATGTCTTATTGCTTTCTACTCTATTTGTTTGATTGTTTTGTGTTTATTTATATTCTAATTAATATAGGATTTTAGTAGTATATAGTGTAGTTTACCTCTAGTTTCATGGCTGCCTACACTCTCAGAAATAAAAGTAGGAAACTGTCACCCTTGTACCCCTCTTGTCACTGGGGTGGTACCCATGAGGTACCTTTAGTCAGGGAACATAATTGTACCGTAATCCATTTAAATTATATTTTCTAAGTTGCATTGATTCCACACACCTTGTCTCGTCTCCAGGCTTTTTATTTTATTGTTCTGTTTAAGGAACACAATTTGACCTTAAAACCACTGTTATACCTTTGGGGGTACATTTACATTGTACTTTGATGAACGAAAAATGTACCTGCACAGAACCTTTATTTCTGACAGTGTAAGAATTTTATGCAGTATGGTAGATATCAGTATGCCTTTTTGAGCACACTGTAGGTACTGTCAGTCCTGGCTATTTATATGTCCTGTGAAATAATATAGATTTAGGCCATTTGCAGAGAGATTGCTGACGACATCCAGTGATGTGACACTGTAAAAATTGGATTTAGCTCATTATGCCATAATTTTATTGTTATTTAATGTACTGAAAAATACATACAAATGGTGCTCTGTTTCCGTATTTTTTAATTTGGGACTATTTTGTGTTTGTTTAAACTTTTGCAAACATCAGAAAAACGAACTATTATCATTTATCATGAAGATGCCTTCAAGTATCATTCTATTATTTTTTGTGCCATTTTGCACACTTCTATTAGTGTGCATGTGTGCATCAGTGTGTGTGAGAGTGTGTGTGGTGATCACCATAGGAATGTCACCGTAGCGAGTGGCTATAAGAAACCGCCGCAGATCTCCATGTTTTAGAAAGGGCAGGATGACTAGAGGAACAGGAATGGAGGAGTCCTCCTCGCTCTCCAGAGTGACACCTGGTGGAAACAAATGGCACATAAATATAAACTCTTAGCATTTTAATCAGAATACTGCTTCAGTGCACTGTAAAAATGTGTTGTTTCAACTTAAAGTTAGTAAGTAAACTGGCTGCCTTAATATTTTGAGTTCATTGAACATCAAATAGTACAATAAAAGTGACAAAAATGTAAAATATGTGTTTTTCCTTTACACATGACAGTGTGTACTACAATAACAATTATAAAATCCTAATGATGATGTATCTCCTCAAACACTGTGTTTTGTTTAGAATTCTGACATTTTTTGCTAACAGAACAATAATCTGTCTCACATTTTGTTAGCTAATCATTTGAAAAATTCACATCAGCCAGATTTTATTTTAAGTTGAAGAAATTGTAAAAAAAAAAAAACAGTGTAGTCTCAGTTCCAGAAAATGTCTTTTACATTCATTGATATATAAGGTCAGCATAATGACACTGTAAAATGGACTTGATTTAACTAGATTAGTTCTGTTCATCGTGAACACAACAGAAAATGTAGATATCAGAAGATTAAAGTAAAGACAGTAATTCATGCAACACATCTTGTAAGAAGCATTCTTCATTCATTATGAGAGAAATGAACATCAACAGTAAAAATTCAAATCACAATTTAATGTCTGTTTCAATATGAGTCATCATTAAAGCTTGATTTGTTGCTTTTTTTGAACACTGCATGAAAATGTACTGTACCTAGAAGTTTCACCACATTATCATGGTCAAAGTGCTGCATGATCTCAGCTTCCTTTAGAAATGACTGCAGATCATCCTGGCAATAAATTCCAACTGCAATGAAATTTGAAAAAACACATACAAATAATTGCATATTTTATACAGAAACAGTGATCTGCATCATAGTTTCTATGTCTAGTCTCTAAATAAATGAAATGTTAATGGTTATTCACCATTTATAATTCTAACTACACTCCCAGAAACTACAACTAAGTACTAAACTGTCCCTGGAGTGGTACCTTTAAAGGCACGTCTTTTAGTCTGGGAACATAGTTGTACCATAATCTATTGTGTATGGACTCCAAATATCCTGTCTTGTCTCCAGGCTTTTTACTGTATGGTTCTGTTTTAAAGAATTAGATTATGAAAGGGTACAAGGGCACCTTTTCCCTTGGAAAGACCTACTTAAGGTACACAGCTGGACCTGAACACCACTGTTGTACCTTTTAGGGTACATTTACATTGTTTGTACCATGATGAACAAAAAATGTACCAACACAGTGCCTTTATTTCTGACGGTGTAGTCTAAGTTTATGGTTAAACTTAGTCTGGGAAATAGGCCCATAGTGTTTATATCTTAAAAAATGCATAATATTGCATTACATTTTAAATGCAAGAGTCAGTATCTATAAGTATTTAAAGTCTGTTTCAAACCTAATCAAGAATTCCAGGAGCAACTAAACACTACAACCAGCTATGCAAGCTCAGTTTTGGAAGGGAATTCTCTGAGAGTCGACCTCATGTGGATCATAATTCAAGCAGCGATGTCAACAACTGTAAACGTTAGGGGCGTAACTTAAACTTTTAGAATGGGGTGGCCAGTTAAGAGCCAGAGATTTTAATAGGGTGTACACTGCTACGAAAAAAAATAGTGTCACTGTAGCAAAATGACATATAAATTGATGTGTTGTTTTTTTCTCTGTACATAATTAAATCTGTCCATCATTTCCACATGAATAAAATATTACATCAATGCAACTACTGCTAAAAGTAACCTGAAAGACAAAACTGTGATGATGTAACATATCTTAGTCATTCGTGAGGAAATGATGTTTTTGAATCAAGTAAATTAAATGTCACTTATCAAGAATAGCTGTGCCATTTCTTCCATGCACACACACAGACCACAGTGCACACACACCACAGTGTGCAGGAATAATGAAGTAATGAGTAGCTTTAGTAAAGCAGGGACTGTAGAGACACAGTTTCAGTAGGTGCTTTTAACAATAATTTGGAAAATAACACTGTCAAATCAAAACCTGCTCTTTTGATAGCGTAAAATATCCCCTGAGCATTAGGAAATAGCAGTTTCAAACATTGTTTTTCTAAAACTGTTGGTTTTAGCATTTATTTCTTTCATCGCATTAAGAATAATGTGATGTGGCAGGTGTTTTTTCCATTGAAAAAAAGTAAATGCGTCAGAAAAACTTTCATTTTTCTCTCTGAGTGCAATGTGAGTGCCAAAAATAAGACATGCTTTTCTCAGGTGTTAAAATAGTGAGTCAGCCTTGGTAAATTGGAGTACACGATTTATTATAATAATCTCCTGACAGTATTTCTACCCTATAAAGACATATGCAATGAGTCAAAAGTGCAAAAGAGCAGCAACCACCCCTCTGATTGTTTTATAAGTGCTGAAGACACTTTTTAACAGCAAAATATTTGCCGTGGTGTAAACGTACGTAAATTTTTCCAAGAGCAGTTCTCCTTCATTAAGACTTCATTCATCATTGCTCTTTGATGTGTCAGGGTTACAGTATTGTTAGAAAATGAAACATTCAGTATAAAAAAAAGACTACAGACATCAATTGAATTCTATATTAATATGGCAAGATTTGTTGTAAGTGCAATAATATTTGACCATTATTTTGCTTGACAACTATAGCTCTCAAAAACAAACTATGTTTCATGCTGGAAGAATCATTTATTAATAATAAATTTAATGATTTCTCTAATATTGATGTATTTTGTCAGCTTTTGCCATCATTAAATAAAAACAGTAACCCACTCAAGGCTGTCATTTTACACCCCCTAACAAAACCTGTAACCATGGTAAAATCACTGCAGCCTATGGCATCTCATAGCTTATTGCTTTATTTTGTGGAGGGAGCAGATGTTGTAGCTTATGATGTTATAAACTGTTTCATCTTCACATATTCACCTCTCATGGTCTTCACTGCCACTTTAATATTCTCTCCCTCTTGAGGGGAGAATACACCTTCATAGACTGCCCCAAATTCTCCTGAGGAAAGAGAGAGACAAACCCAGCACAAACCCAGTTTACACAAAAGCAAACAACTATATGCCTGTATAACTACACAACAAAGCACAGAAGACACACTGGATGTGTAATGTATACAGACTACTACTGAATTAGTTCAAACTGCAAAAAAACAAACTACTACGGAAATATTTCTATTTATCTTGAGTTTAATTTTTAATGTCACTATTAAAACACAAAGTTCTAGTTCATAGGCAGAGTTTTTCACCACTGAAACAGTCACTACCAACAGTCACTAATATGGTAAAAGGACTGTTTAGTCAATACAAAAATAAGGTATAGGGTCACGCAAAGCATCCAAAATGTGATTTCAACTTTTTGACTTTGACCCAATTCAGTAAAATGATCCACAAGTGAAAAGCAGTGAAATGTAATGTTCTTTTGGGTGATCATAATGAGGATGACATCATACAGTGGGATGAATGAATGAATGGTGATTAGCCTACATCAGCTTTTTTGGCACTGCAGTATTCAGAAGATTTTTATATGTACCTTTTCCCAGCTCTTTACCCAGCGTCAGTCTGCTGCGATCCACCAGCACATCTCTGATCCCACACAGCAGTCTGTCACTCACCACACTGCCGAAAACCTGAACTGAACCTAGAGAGAGAGAGAGAGAGAGAGAGAGAGAGTGAGAGAGAGAGAGAGAAGAAATAGAAATGGGAGTCACATGAGGTCACACGCTTGACTGCATTTTAAAGGAATATACGAATATTGTGAATAATGTGAATGCATTTCCCTGTAATGAGAAAAGAGCAGAAATCCAGTAAATGTTTATACCTGAAATATGAGCTTTTGTAGAACACGTTTAAACCAGCACACAAGAGGCACAGGAGGCAAAGCCCTGGCCAGTGGACCAGCTGCAATGACCCCAGTGTACTTCAGATAAGCTATCAATCTGTATAATTCACTCTTTAAGAGATGGACTGTTGTTCCAGTCCAGTATCGTTAGAGCGTGAAGACTGAAGATTCAAACTTAATAGTTGCGTATTTCAAATGTTTATTCATGGAATATCAGTGAATCTTGAGTCAGTGTGTTCTTTTCTATGTACGGGGAAATGTACTGAAATTACTGTTCATGGTAATCGATAGTACAGTGTGGTAGAGTATTCCTTTAACCCTACACTGCAAGATCAATCAGCCAGCTTTCAGAAGTGAGAATAGATCCAAAATGATCTTATTTTGAATTTAATTGCACATAAGTCTAGATTTATAGTCTTAAAAATGATTTCAAAGCATTCTTAAAGTTTTCTTGAAATTTCTTTGTTCATAGTAGAGAGTTTCAAAACTCTTCAAGCTAGCTCATTAATCTCCTACATACCAACCTAGTCTATTCTGTTCATCTTAAAATAAAAAGCAAGATCTTTTGTTCTCAAGCTTTTCTGGCTTGTTGTTGGCAGTGTCACCACATGAGCAGCTGAATGATGTTTCTGTCCTTTTGTTCTTTTTTAAGCCACTGTGTTCATCTCTTTGGAGTTAATAAAGCAGTTTATTATCACATACGTGGGTTTTTTAAGATTTAATGCTCCATTTTGAGAACTTATTAATTTCTTATTTTAAGCATTTTAGTTTTTTTTAAGACCATCTTAAAGACATTTCTGTTTATTTAGTAATGAGCTTGAAGCTGATTCAGTCTCTTCTCATTTCAGGAAATTGATGGTTAGTCAAGTATTTACAAAGAGAACTACTCACAATCCTGTGACACAGGCTGTAGCCAACTGAATGTGATGATAAGCAAGAGTGTACCATTTCCACCAAAGACTACCATGGGTATTTTCTGTGTGCTTTAATCAGATAAAAGCCTTACTGCTGGTTTGTTGTGGAGGTGCAGTCTCAGATTCCACAGGGCGGCGGTATGATATGCCACTAGTCTGCAGAGGCATGAGCTCCACATCTTGATCTTCCCTAAACAAAATGCAACAGGTTACAACTCATTTACAGCTCATTTAACATCTGCACACTAGGAAATACAGCTGATTAGCCATGAAAGAAACTGGGACAAAAGTGTGTGTATTCAGTCACCATCATGGTTTTTGAATCACTTATTATGTATTTTTTTCCATAATATAATAATAATAATAATAATAATAAAAGTTCATGAATGAACTTTAAATTGGCGTGAGAAAATGAGCTAATAACACTTCAAAAGATAAAACAGAAAAAGTTGCAGAACACTGTTGATTGCTTTTAACATCTTAATTGGGTTGCTATGATGTTGTTAAGAGGTTTCTACGGTACTCCAGCTTGTTATTAAAGCATTGCCTGGATGTTGTTAGTTGCCAGGGTGCTGCTAAGAAATCGCTATGGCATTTCAGCTTGTTGTTAAGGCATTGTTGGTGGTTGTTAGATCAGTGCTAAGGTGTTTCTAGGTTGTTGCTATGGTTTCCCAAATGGCTGCTAAGGCCATTGATATAGTATCCCAGGTGGTTGCTAAGGCGTTGCTAGGCCGCTGCTATGGCATTCAAGGTGGTTGCTCAGGTGTTGCTAGGTCGTTGCTATAGTATCCAGGGTGATTGCTTGGGTGTTGCTAGGCCATTGCTTTGCTCTCCTAGGTGGTTGCTAAGGTATTGCTAGGCCGTTTCTATGGTAACCTAGGTGGTTGCTAAGGAGATGCTGGCATACCTATATGATGGGAACATAAGGGCAGTGTCCAAAATTATTTGGTTACAGAGTGTATACTGACAATGATGAAATAAGAGGAAGAGGTATAAGCATTGTACAGATGGAATGGTTTCAGGAATGTTGAGCATTCTCCAATTCATTCCAATGGAAATAAAATCGTGTTGTACAGACCCTGTGTTAATCAGTTAAAAAAGCACAAACAATTTGGGTAAAGGCTCTACAAGCCTACAAAGTTTTAGGGTTCTAGTTCAAAACTTGAAGGAGTAGTGTTGCAAATGTTTGACTGTGGAATAAAGAGAAGAAAACGAAGAACAGTATGTTGGCTTTTTAAAGTAAACTCAATGAATAAATTAAGTGATATTTATTACTATTTATCAAATTATAATAATAATAATAATAATAATAATAAAAATAGGTCATTTATTTAATTACTGACATACCTGAGTTTGCTATAACGGTGGCGTAGAAAGCAGAGGACGGTTGATATGAGAGCAAACAGCAGCAGCGCTCCACACAGCACACCTGCAATCACGGGAGGCGTGAGCCACTGCTGCTGCTGCTCCTTCAGCTGGGAACTGACCATTGTTACAGGAGCAGGAGAGATTACTACTGGAGTCTTCCCTGTCATGCACACAAAACGTTAAGCATATTTTAAGCATATCAGCACATCATCTGGTGCTGTCCAAATACAGTGGTTTTACCACCAGTGGTCTGATTTAAAAGATTTAGATGTGTCCAACTGAATAAAAATTTAAATATGCTTCTTGTTGGGACACTCACACACAGTAATGGACTGTACAGATCCAGAGCTGCCATGTTCAGCAGATAGTTGGTTGTGTGCCCTGACGAAGATCTGGTAGCTCACGTGACGATGCAGTCCAGTAATGTTGGCCACTGTCTCAGTCAGTCCAGTGGACTGTGGAAGAATGATCACAGAATCCCCACACTGAACCCACATATCATGAGTCTGCCCTGTGTTCTGTTTGCACCCCACATCATACATCACTTTCTGTCTTCCACCCAGGTCTGCAGGAGCAGCCCAGTTCACAATCAGCATTGTGTCACCCAAATGATGGACGGTTAAGTTGCGAGGTGCTGATGGGGGTCCTGAGGAGAAATAACAGAAGTACATGGAAAATTCAATTAGTGACATAATGCACACACTAAAAATGATACAGTAACACTTAATAACATTTACATGCAAACCAGTGGTTCAATATCAGTCTAAATAAGATTGCTAGTGTAAATAAGAAGCACGCTTTGATTGTCATTAGGGCTAGTTACCAAAATCCAATTCTTTTATGGTACCAATGAAACTTTAACAACAAACAATTCTGTCATTCAAATTGTATTAATACCTAAGCAGTCAGAAGACACATCCTTCACCTTAATTCTCTTCGAATAATCTTTCAATGCGCTCACAGTCAGATTCATCCACACGGGAAAGGGGTCTGAAGCCCAACCAACATTACAAAATGTTCTTCCACAAGTTGCATGTTGCATGCAATTACACATTTCTACCGGAGAGACCACTAAATCCCCAAACCTTACACAGTGCAGCTTTTATATTAGCACTTCTTAAATTCTGCGCAGTGCTAACTTTTATACAACCATTTGTACAAAAGAATGTATGTGTCATGTAATTGTTCTTTTGTAGAACTGAATTTTTTGGTATGGAGAGACTATCTGGATGTATTTTAAAGCAATACATGACTTTTAACTCAAGATTTTTTTGTATTTAAAAGAAAGCATCAAAACAATATCTTCATCATTCTGGAACTGGTGTCAAAGTTAAGGTATCAGTATTGGTAGTAAATTATCTCAGACTGTCATGCTCTGACTAAGGTCTTAAGTCAACCTCAACTTGCTGTGATTAAAATATGTGGCTGATATTGGCCTTATTATTTGAGATAGATTCAGATGCTTAGATTGCTGCATGTGCTTTTTGTGACATTTTGGAACTCTTCCCACAATATTACATGTCTGATTACAGCTTTATGACACCAAAACAAACATGCTATAAATGCTATAATTGATGGAGTCTTATTTTAAATGAGTAATAAATGGAATGAACTAGAGCACAGCATTTCTCAATATTTACGTTACTAATGCAGCTACAGTGAAAAGCAAGAAAACATATGCCTGTGAAAATTTAGATGCGTCAGGAAGAAAGGCTAAGCTGATGTACATGTAAATGACACAGGGTATACATGTGAATGGATTAGATCTAATACAACTTGGTCTTGGATCTTAAATTGATCAATATTAGGTACATACGCACTTGCACAGCCTAGATGTGGTGGGTCATCCTGCAGACGGTTATATCCCTCTTCACAATCACACTTTGAGGCACCTTCTGAGTGTGTTTTGCTGTTGGGCGGGCATGACTGGCATTCACCGCTACCTCTGAGAGGTTTGTAGCTGCCAATCCTACATGCTGAAAAAATAAATCACAAAGATGAAAATAAAATTGAAGATGAATAAAACGGTGAAAAAATGTTTTAAAAAAACATAACTTACATTTGTAGTGTGATGGCTAGTCAATTAATTTATGGTTTTTTTTTAATGAAAAATAAAAACTGATCATTTATTTGCAAACCCACAAAGCTAGACAGCACTTTGATGAAGGTGGACTTGCTAACATTGCTCAGGAAGAGACAATTTGAGCAATGAATACTCTCTTGGAAAATGAAAACGCACCCAATACAGCATGCATTTTTTACGCACCGATGTAGACATGTAGTAGCCCTGCACTACTGGCACATCTTTTTTCTAGACTTTAGGACCATAAAATATCAGGATCAAGCACCCCAAGATATTGTGTAAGCACACACCATAACAAATTCCTTGTGTTAATAAAACATTCTGATTCTGGTGAGTCCCTGTTCCGCCGATAAATACTCTTAGGGTCAGTGATGAGTTCCTTTTCCACCGATAGATACTCTTAGGGTCAGTGATGCATTCCTGTTATGCTCACAAATACATTTAGGGTCAGTAATGAAGACTGTGCTGTTTGCAATGCAGGCCACACACCACAAAAACTGAGTCCAGTAGAAGATGTTCTACCCACTATAAGCCAGGGTTCTGTGAGTACTGGTGACCTGCAGAGCTGTGTTCTATTATTTCTCCTTTATTCACCAATGAAATCATGTTCTTTCACTTCTAATCATCATAGTTGTTCAGTGAGCAGCTAATTTCCATCAGCTAGTAAAGATGTTTGAAGGATCTCTAGTAAATGGTGCTTTGAAGCAATTCCATAGAAGAATCACTTTTAGTTCCCTAAAGAAACTTTCGATGGACAGTTCTTCAAAGAAACAACCAAAATCTAAATCTAAAACCACCAGTGAATCAGAATAGAATTAAGAAATACATTTTTGGCCAAACTCTAATAAACAATGATAAAGCAATGTCTCAGACATCAGGCTAAGTGTTCATAACCATTTCATGTAATAACTTTCTGTGAGGGAGGTGGATGTCTGGTTCCTATCACCACCACTGTGAACAATTCTGACTTGTAAGTTTCTCTAGAACAGAGCATTTCACTCCAAACCATTCTGGTTGACTTTGTTACAACTTTTGATTTAATTTGTCAATCTTTTTGATTTGATTATGCTAAAATTTTTAAATATTCTGTACATCCACAATTGTGTGCAAATGTTTGGGCACCTCTGGTCAAATGACATGTTTTGTTGATTTTCTAAGTAAAAATAAGTAACACATCCTCTACAGAGAACACACTTCCGCACATTGACATGCACAATGAATATTTATTTGCTGAATTTAACATATTGGGAAAAAACACTAAAACATAATTTGTGGCCTGTGCCAAAGTTATGGCACAATTTATATCTTACGTTTTACTTTTTCCAATATGTTAAACTCAAATTTGCAGGAAAAATGACATATATAAGCATGTTCTCTGTAGAGAATGTGTAAACTTATTTGAGAAACAAAACATGCAATTTGACTGATGGTATTTTTGCATTTAACTGAAAGCCTAAAACCATACAGGATCCTTTATTTTTTAAGAGTGTGGATAAATCATTATATAGAACCACAACACTGTGGGGAAAGCTGGCTTTGGTATTTCTCATTATGTGATATTTTTAATTTTCCAATGCTTAATATCCTTAATATGAGAATTTAAATTAATTCTTAAATTGTTGGGGTCTGGAAACAGCAGGTCCAAAAAAAGAGTAAACATGACACTGGCCAAATCAACAATATGTCAGTCAGAGATGTTGCCAAAATGTGAGTGTTCTTATCACTGATTCAAATTTTAAGAAATCAAAATTCAGTGGAACACCATGAGTCACTGATTCATCTCTGATTCTGTCTGACAGACTGTCATTCTAAAGTCAGCAATTACAGAGTTGGACTACCGGTAGTCACCATAAATTCCTTTGACACTCTGTAGAGCAGTGCCCTTAGGGCAGGTGACTAAAGCTCACACTGATGCAATGTCAGTCTTTCCTGTCTTTCCCGATACTCTTTTTGACGAAGTTTCGTTGAAAGAGTTGTTGATGGAAAATGCCATTTTTCAACATCTCAGTTATGTGTACCGTTTTTGTTCAAACTATGATCAATATAACACTTATTAATGTCCAGTGTTGGGCAGCAATGGAATTCAAGTAATCTGGATTATATAATCTGCAATCAAAAATCAAGTATTTGTAAAAGGGCTGGGATGATACTTTCAAAAATAAACGTAATTAGATTACAGTTCCATTTTTATGGGTCTCTACTTTTTAACAATAACATATTTGATTAAGCAACATCAATAAATCTTATTAATTTTTCATTTAATGAATGGGTCCATCAGCTGCATAATATTTGTATCACTATGACTGATAGCAATAGTTACATGTGGTTGAAGGAGAAAGAAAGGAAGAAGGAGGAATATTTGTGTTGAATCTTCAGATGGTTTGAACTTTACAACACCAATTGACCAATTACGCAACTTAATTAGCCAGTTAGTTCAGAGGTAGGCCAAGCGTAGTCCAAAAATAATCAGATTAGATTACACCTTTTAGTCCTGTACTTTGCAAGTAGTCTCAAGAAATCTACCCAACACTGCTAATGTCTCAGCATGCTATGCTGTTACGACGTCAAGCTTGCAACAATAGCAGAAACCTTTTTCAGTGCTATATAGAACCATTTTCAAGTTTATATTCTTTAAGTAGGTTTAATCCTACATAGCATTGCTTAAATCATTAAAAACACTAAATGAGACAAAACAATGAATTTTCTAACCTTTACAAATGTTCCCTTCGGCCTGATAACCTGCTCTGCAGACACAAGATCCTTGCAGACCACTCCATGTTCCATTTGACAGACACTCCATCTCTGGGGTGGAAATCTCTTCAGCACCATCCACACACTGGCCTCTGCTCAGTCCTGATCCTGCTGACACTTCCCTAAAACTAGTCTGGTTCATTGTAAATCCTGGACATCTCAAGTAGAAGAGGCGCACCGAGGAAAGAAACACGCACGATCCACTGTAGGAGAAGCCCAGATAGAAGCCCTTTCTGGAGATCTTTCCCAAATTCAGGTCCTGAGTGTACAAGTGTTCCTCCACATGTTTAGCTGTTTGAAATGCACTTGGAGCTACAACTTCCTGCCTCCGCTGTTCCAAGTCAAAACTGTCCACAGGTTCATCAGCCTCTAGTAACAGGACAGTAATGGGTGTTTGGTCATTTTGAGTGAACTGCAAGTTTAACAGGACCTCATGGGCATTTTTCTTTGGAAACCATGTAGTCCACAATGTTTTTGGTTGGTTAGTAAATTTATTTTCACAGCCTTGATAGACCAGGTGTGCCGAACCCTGTCCGAGTTTCAGCTTCGTTTCTTGCCACTGAAAGAAATCATTTGCAAAATATTTATATGTTGACATCTAATTATATATTTAGATGTTGACATCTATCATGACTGCACACACATATGTACATGCCCACACACACACACACACACACACACAATTTTTAGTGCCTAATTTCTATTTTTTGTGTTTTTCCCCCACGTTTAACATACAAAAAAATAAAACACAACGAATAAAATGCATTATAATGTCCAATATGTTTAAGTTTAAGCATGGTTAGGTTTATTATAACTTCATTTTCATTATTATACAGCTTTCTGAGTTATTATGCAGTCATCTATCGTTCTGTTTCATTCTGAACACATCTTCATTTTTACAGCTTCCTACTAAGTAGCTGACACCTATGAAGTTGTGGAACTGTAGCATAATAACAAAATCATTTTGTATGCCTATCTTCAATAAATTGGTCTTATATCATTGAAAAAGGTAATACACTTTTTGGTGTATGTAGACAAGTTATACAAATAATACATATGGATTCAAATGAGGAACTTACAGCTTTCTTTGGTATGGAAGTCCATTGTAGTCTTCCCTGAGAAGTAGAATCCAATATCTCTTCTGAAATAGTGATTAAAGGTTATTTTGATATGTTTTCATCACGGTCCGAGTTTGCTAGTAAAAAAAGCCACAAATGTGGATTTTCCTCTTTATCTTATATTTACTGTCTATTAATGATAAAGGAACTTTTACATGTTTATAAATATTCTAGACAAAATGAGTTCTCTATGGCTATTTCAGTTGTAGAGACATGATCGAAAAAATAAGAAAACGTCTTCAAAGTGTTTGTGGTGGCGTCCAGTGCTGTAACTTGAATGCTCTCACGTCCACAGTATGAAGCCACGGAAGGACTTTCTAAGCTGTTCGGCTAAAACAGAGGTCTCTTACCTTGAATCGGGGTCGGTTGCGCGGACTTTGCCAAAAATGTCACAGAAATGAAGGACAGCGACAGTAAACAGATGAGGAGCGCCATGTCCCCGAGGCTGGCTGTGTCCCGTCATGAAAACAGTGCAGACACCTTCTCAGACAGTAGGCTGACCCACGAGGGGCAGAGCCTAATACATCCTTCTGCGCTTTAACTCTTCTTTACGTTGTGGCTGTTTCAGCACTTTCACAGCGTATTGACGTTTCAGAGGAAAATGCTCTCCTTCCCACGCGCAGCCTGCTTCAGCCAGATATCCAGTTATGACGTTCTCTCCAGCACTTAGTGAAACACTTTCCTGTGAAACTCACCAGAAACGTAGCCTACACCTTAAAGTGGTCAAGTGCTGAAGTAGTTTTGAACACCTTTTGAAGGCCATGTTGTAAAGCTTAAGTAAATAATGAAAAGCTGATCTAATTATTAAATAAAATGTTGAAGAGCTGACGTAAATATTAAAGAAAATGCTGAAGAGCTAATCCAAATATTAATAAATGTTAAAGAGCTGATCTAAACAGAAGGACACGTTGTGAAGCTGAGGTAAAAGTTGAAGTACATTGTAAAGCAGAGATAAATGTTGAAGAAAATGTTACAAAGCTGAGGTAAATGTTAAAGTATATTGTAAAGCTGATGTAAATGTTGAAGTATATGGTAAAAGCTGAGGTAAAAGTTAAAGTAGTTTGTAAAGCTGAGGTAAATGTTGAAGTATATGGTAAAAGCTGAGGTAAATGTTGAAGTATTCTGTAAAGCTGAGGTAAATGTTGAAGTATATTGTAAAAGCTGAGGTAAATGTTAAAGTATTTTGTAAAGCTGAGGTAAATGTTAAAGTATATTGTAAAAGCTGAGGTAAATGTATATTGTAAAGCTGAAATAACTGTTGAAGAAAATGTTACAAGGCTCCCAGCCAATATGTCCTTGTGGGCCCCATGTGGGTTTTAACTGGGCTGTGTGGGTTTAAATATTCCAATAGCATATTAGAAATACAGACAAAGTGGTAAATAATTTTCTGCCATAGAACACCCAAATATGACTACAACACAGTCTATTAATGTCTGTATTATTCCACATTGTTTAATTTTTCACTAAAGATTAAATACCACTTTAACTGGTGGAAACTGGTTGGAACTTGTTCAAAATGTTAAAGATTCTCAAAACAACTGATACGGAATGAGATTTAACACAGCACAATATTGCAGTCCCCGTCCCCACAAACCTAGAACATTCTAGGCACCTCCAGCCTCAAAAAAATGCTAAAAGACTTCCACTGTGGAGGATTAATCAACAGAATTATGGAGGTAAGAAAGTGATATTTAGACCAATTTTACTGTTCTCACTAAGTAAAATGGAACATTTTGTTGAAGGGATAAGAATTTAGTCCAAAGCACTGAGAATTAAGCCTGCAAGCCAGTGAACGTTAAACAAATTTAAAACAGCCGGTTAGCCATGTAGCCATGTAAGTAAATGATTTTCAGCTAGCTGTCTAACATTTTATTTGTGGATAAATGATTGTGAACTTCTATTAGGTGCTAACATAACATTGAAACATTGGGTACTAGTAGAAATTAGCATTATCGCAGCAGAGGCTGCTTATAAAGTGGTATCTCTGTCAAACACTACCATATAATTTTATGTGTGGTGTTTGCATGTTTATAAGACAAAACATTTAAAAATGCATGGCATTACTGGCTTTAGACCATTTAGTCCACTTTAAACTGTGTGAAGTGGCATTAAAATGTTCTTAAATTTCATATGTTGATACCTGCAGATACCTTGCTTAAAGCATTGTGGACACTTACTTCAGTTTTTTTTTACATTGATTTAATTTATTACTCTTTCTTTTTTCCTTTCTTATAATATGATACAGATGATAAATGATTGTATTGATGTAAAGATAAAAGCAAGTGTATTGCTGAAATGCTTTAAGCAGACGGAAAACCCAGGTGCAGCAGGTAAATCTAGCAAACTCCTGCATATATTCTGCTGTGAACATCTGGGTTTCAGTGTAATATATGATAGAAATAAATATTGTAACATTGGCACTTAAATGAACTCAGTAAACTGGAGAAGTCCCATAGAGATATCAAAGAAGATGTCATGCTCTCTGTGTTCATATTACTTGTTCCTCTTTGCGATCTTCTTCCATCATCTCATCTCTTGTCCTTAACTGTGACTGTGAAAGTGTGCAGTGACTTTTCACACTGACTTTGGAATGATACAAACTGACAACACAGTTTTTTGTTGAAAATCATCAAAATGGGACAATTTAAATGATCCTACATGTACAGTCTTGGAATTAAATATAACAGAGATACCATGGACCACATGTTTTCATACTTATTGTAAGTCTTTGTATTAATGACAAAATACCTTATAAACGCAGCTCCTATAAAACATTCAGGACCAATTTCAAGTATTTTAAAATTGTAGGTACATTAGCTAGATGTGGTGACTTTGGTGAAGAATCACTTTAGCATCTTCCCATGTTTGATGTTCACCATTTAATGTTACAAAATATTAATTTACAAGCCTTATATCTCAATGGTATAGATCTTTTAATGATACAGAATATTATTTTGAAAGCTTTATCCTTCATGATGTAGAGATATTTATCTTTTAATGATACAGAATATTATTTCACAGTAAATACATTTTATCCGACGATGTTGCCTTTTTCTAGATTTAGGACCCTATTTAATCTAAGTTCACAAATTGTTTTGAAGTTCATTACCATAAGAAATACTGGCTTTTGCACTTTTGAGAAAAAAATATTTGCTTGCACTAAAAAAATGTTCCCAAAATTAGTCCATTTTTCTTTCATTTCTTCTTTTCTAGTTCCTAACACTCATAGTCATGAGACAAAACTTCCACTTTTACCACACACACAAAGAAATGATTTTGAAGACAATCATTAAAGTTATGCAAGATATAAGTTATATAAGAAAGAATAGACTCAATCCTAAAACATTAAGTACTGAAATAAAGTTTCTTTTTTCATTTATTTGATTAATAAAGGACTATGGCTGCAGTACTCTAAGGGACAGAACATGGATGATTATACACACCTTAAGTCCTGCAAATTGAAAAATTACAAACTGACTGCAAATAAAATGATTCTGAGGTTTCAGTATGTGAGAAATGTGATATGTCCATGCATCCATCATGCCATGGTATGAAGCTTCTGTTATGCACTGTGAGGGCCTAATAAAATAAAAGTTCAAAGAAACAAATTACATTTACATTTACCAGTCAATCTTTTAGTTTGTATCATTCTGTATTTTTAAAATAATTTCACATAATTTCTTCCTGTTGCTTGAGTAGTTTGGCCCAGTAGTAACTGTTTGGTGAGTTCTTTTTTTGCAACAAAACTCTTTTAAATTACTCGTATTATTCTACTAGATTAATGATATTACTTTCACTTTATGAAACACTTTGTGGCTTCCAGTCTCCCAGCATGAGCTGGTTTCAGGTAGATACACTATGGTTTTTCTCATTGGTGGCTTATTCTACACCTCCTTACTACTCATAAGTTATCTTCCACCCCAAAACTACCACTGTATTTGAAAGTTTTAGCTGCTTGAATTAACATTTGATCTGAGTGTTTTAGTTGTTTTTGTATCCTAGCCACCCAAGGGGAAATTTCACAACATTTTCAAAGTTTCTACATTATTAAACCAGCTGTAATTGTGAGCAAAGTCATGCAGAATGAAATGATATGATGTGAAATGCAGCATTTCAGAGAAACCTTCTGAGACAGAATTGTTCACAGTAGTGGCAATAGACAGATCTGAAGAGTATAATGGCTCTAAAAGCTACCTCACAAAACCTTACTTCATGAATAGGTACAAATATGTTGCCTGACACACTGTTTATGATAGTTTGAGATCATAGTTTTGGACCAAAATAATACCCAACATTTTTTTTTCAGATTTACCCCAATTTTACAACATTCAACATTACATATAAAACATGTGTGGGATCACTAGTTATTTTGAATAGTAAATGAATTAGCTATATTTGTTGACATCACAAGCCCTGGTTCATGTCACCACTTTGCTCAGTGGAGGCAGGATTATTAGGATCACTTGCAGCTGAGCTGGTGGAAAAATTATTTTCTTGTACAGCTCATAAATTCTAGAACTGCATTCCCAAGAAATGAAAGGTTTTTAAATCCAGATTATTTAGCATATTATTTCTAGCATATTGGGGCACATTTTCTCATACTTTTTGTAATTGTGTTATTTCTTTATTTATGGTGGTTATATATATATATAGGTCTCCCCCAATCACGATGCCACCAGTAGGGTGAAGACTAGCACATGCTTCTTCTAAGTTATGTGAAATAAGTCACTGCATCTTTTTTTGAACTGCTGTTACCACAAAGTCATCAGGCAGCTCATCGCGCTTGGAGGAGAACGCTAACTGATGATTGTGTTACGTAAGCTGGATAGCATCAAGGTACGTGATGTGGTCAGAGGGAGGGCCATCCCACCCCCTCAAAGAGTGTGCGACCAGTTGTGTTCTCTGGGACTCCTGGCCACAGATGGCTGTGGCATCATCTGGGTTCAAACCCACGATCTCCTGAACTGAGTTAAAACTAATCATCAGATGATATTAGGAAAATGGCAGACTTGAGGTGTTTTAAGCTAGTGACCAGAAGTTTTCTCAAGATGAGGTCCAAGGAGCACTGAGGTCCTTAAACAGAAAGTCTTTAATTTATGCATAATTTACATCAAAAAAGTAGTCTGCACATTCCAGTCCAGTTTTGGTTTAATGAGACTTTTTTCCTAAGAAAAAAAAAAATATTGCTTGCGAATAACACTCACACTTGACGTGTTGCAGGTCAACTTTCTCTTAACTAATTTTAATCTTATTTACATGTAAGTAGCTCTACATCACGTTTCATCAAATTTTACAGGCAAAAGTTCAGGCATGTTGCTGATTTGTCACTAGTCTCGTCTGCTGATTCAGCATACTGTTCCACCAAAGTGACTAAAGACCGCCTGTTTCCTGGGTGATTTAACCAGAGTGCACTTGGTTTCATTACAGACCTTAGCTCTAAGATATCTGACTTCCTCCTCTGAGACAGTTTGGTTTTTGCTTGCCCAAGGCCCCAGAATATGCTGAATGGTGTAGTTGCACATTTCCATGATGTCCATGTTTACTGAGAGTTTGTGAAATGACAGCTTTACTTAGCTGAAATTCTCCTCACCCAGTAGGAAGGACATGACGTTGTGCTGACTCTAAACATTCTTTTGAACCAGATACAGCAAAACACACTGTTCTTCCCTCAGGCACTTTGTGACAATGCCTATTGTACTGACTTTTAAAAGAGTGGTACCAACTAAATCCCACACCACAGACTGAACTGTTAATCAGAAAATGAAACACTTGCTAGATTGTTTTCCTTTAACTGTGTAACAGTGTATTTACTGTATTATTTTATTGTTGAAATCCATTTTTTGCATCTGTTCTGGTTAGATGAAGATGTTCTGACAGTTGATATGTTTAATATGAGTGACCTACAGTTGGCTTTAAACTTAAGTCGCACATAGAACATGTCAAAATCGGACAAAGAAACAATTTTCACAGAGAACTTGTAGCACAACACGTAACACAACATGGTTGCCTGAGACACCACGAAAACAAATTTTTATTTTCCAAAGCAGATTTCTGAGTAGTGCAATTCTAAGTGCAGTACATTAGTGAACAGTGGAGTGAAGTAACTCTTTATTTAACACATAAGCCACAAATGGTGACAATTTAAACACCCCCAACCCTAAAAACAGGACTAACACACCTTAAAAGAAAAGAACCAGAATCACCCACACATTCACAAAATAATACATAATAAGCTACATTATTTTTGTAGTTTGCCAGTAATGAGGATGTCAAAAATAATACTGTTATTGTGGAAGTTCCTCAGGAAATGCATGTTTCTGCTGGTAACATAACTCACCACTATTTTGCCACTAAGCACTCCATGTCTGTTGCTTTGTAAAGCAACATGCAGTACTGGATATCTTTTTGAAAACATAAAGTGTAAGAAATTAAATTAAAAGGTCACTTTTTTACTCATCATTTAGGGCTTTAAACATATTTCTACATTCACACATCCTAACAAGTGCATACAATTCAAAACAGTACTAAAATAAATAAATACAATCTGTGTTCTATAGAGCTACTACCTACTACTGAAACAAAGGCAGTCTTAAGACCTGTGGTAAAGTTTGTAAGGTGTTCATTTGCTGTTTTTGTAGTCAATTTGTAGATGAGTTTCTCCATATTTTGGTAATTTCCGAGATCAATCAGTGAGCACAACCAGGAAAATCCAACAGCAAGACACCAAAGGCCATGCAACTAAAGTATTAATCTGGTTTAAAGATAAAGTAAACTCCACTTTATTACCTGTATCCCATGTCTCTAAAATGCAGTTTCCCGCATACAGATTTCCCACACATCTCCATGTTTTTCTTGGCTGAATATACAGATATACAGATGTCTGGAGCTGTCACTTGTCTAAAAACAGAACATCTGTACTATAAAATGCAAAGTACAACTCATTCGATTCATTCAGATTTTACCTATGGTCTTCGTAAACACTAAAAATGATCCAATAAAACCCATTTCTTTTTAAGGCCAATTAGTTTGCAATATTTAAGCATTAATGTCTGGTATCTACTTGTCAAACAGTCCTTTGGCATTTGTCTGTAGCAAGCCAGTGGATACAATGCAACTGCAAGGCCACAACTGTATTTTGAGTAAAATGTAGCAATATTTAAACTACAAAATACAAAGAAGCATATTCAACATTTAAAAAGTAACATTTTAAACTGAACCCTTATGAGTCTCCATTTCAGCAGATTCCATGAAAAATCTTTGCATATTCAAAAAGGTACAAACTGACCTATTAAGAAAATACAGCTATTCTAAAAAAAAAAAAACCTGCTCTGAATTCTTCCAATATGGGGACCCTCTATTTCTACATCTCATTTTTCCTCTGGGAGTCCTAGTTGAAGAGCGAAAGGCAATATCCAGCCTTCTCCCCTTCAACATTTTCTTCTTATGCAAACTTGGCACAGTGCAGAGAGGTGCAAATTGACCCTCAACGTTCTCACTCTCGTCCACATTTCTTGTCCATATATTCATCCATATGTCCCTCACTGTAATATGCACTTCTCTTTCCGACTACTGTACTTTCTGCGTCTCTGCTCCAGACCTCTCTCCAGCCGCTCGTCTTCCTCCAGTGCCCTGCACAGCAGGAGAAACAGAGAGAAGTCAAAACAAGTCAAGTGTCAAACCCCAGAACACTATCTACATCCTGACTGTGTTGGTAATAACAGACCCTCACGGTACATATATACAGTATACATTATTTTTACTGCAAATGCTGTACATACACCGGTTAAAAGTTTGGGATCACTATTTTCAATAGCATAAAAAAGCTGCATTTGTTTCAAATGCATTTATGAAAATATTCTATATGCTAGTACTCATAGGTACGCCATAGGTGTCAAACAAATGAATTATATAAAAATGATTTTATTATATAAAAAAAGAAATTATAATTATAAGTTCATATACCAAATATTTCATCTTTGAAAAGCAGTGATCATAACATCTCAAGAAATAATGGTAAATGGATAATTGGTGGACATAAAATTTAAAATACATTGCGTCCAGCTTATACATTATTTTTTTTAATCTACATTGTATAAATCACTGAATAAAACAGCAACAACTATTAATATGACAACTGACTGTGAAACTTCTGAATGGCAGTGAACATCATATAAAATGTATAATGAAGAAGTTGACCTCTCAGGCAATCACTGCATAGTGAATTATGTATGTCTATTATTAGTAATGAGCACTGTACAGTGAAGACACTCATATTATGAATGTTACACGTTATTCACCCTCTCTCTTTGGCATCCATGTCGTGGACCAGCTCATCTCTCTGGTTTACAAGAGACACCAATTCCTGCAGCAGCAACTGCTCTCTGGTTTTATGGGCCTGTGTCTTCTGCCATTCTACAAAACAGAGAGAAAATATGAGGAAGAGAAAACAGAATGAAGGAGCAATAGACATGTTGTTCTAGTATGAGATGCGCATGGCCTCACAAAACCTTGTAATGACTATAATTCATTCTAAAAGATGTTTAAAATAATCGCAGGTAAAGGAGGAAAAGGATGACCAGCAATGAGATGGATGAATACAATTGGAGGAATCATGAATCAGCCATTCAGACACCTAAAGACCCAAATAGAATATAGAACATTCTGAAGAATCACTATGACTATATGGTCACCAGAAGTCATAACTGACTTAGTGGTACTTAATAACAAATCATAACTATTGTGTTCTGTAGATAAGCTAAGACTGTAGAGGAAGGTATAAGAAAACATCACACAAACTGTACATTCTTAACTTTAATTTTCTTTAGTTTCACTTAAGCAAAATAATGAAGGGTCTTCAAAGGGTCTATATCATGAAAACTCAAGCAACATCTGAAATAAAAGAGTTTGATGTAGTGTGTAAATAAAGTTATTAAACTTTCACTCCCTGGACAATACAGTCCACAGATAGAGAGTAAGCTAAAAATCCACATATTCAGCCTATTTGAATGAGGTGCAATGAAGGCAGCCAATCAGAAAAGACTCTAATTATTAAAAATAACAAAAATCACAGTTAAACCACAAAAAAGACTATTCTTGCATTTTAATGAGAAAAGGGAATATTTAATCACTTATTTTAATGAAATAAACACAATTAAGATATAGGGTCACTCAAAGCAAAAGGATTTTAGTCTAAAGTCCAAGTTAGTTAAAACTTCAAAATGCATTTTCAGCTCTTGACTTTGAACCAGTTCAGTATAATGATCCATATATAGATATTCCTAGTAGGAGAATAGACAACCTAAAACTACTGCAAAATACATTTTCAATGCTTAATGTGACATAATGTGACATAATATGTATGTTTGTTGCTTTTTTGCTTGTTTGTGCTCTGTTGTCTTACCCTCTACAGCCATGAGGTCTCTGAGTTCTTTCTTTAACAATTCAAACTTCCTCTCCAAATCCTGCTCCTCTTGCCTGTCAGAGAGTTGGAAAGAGTTGGAAAATGAGGAGCCAGACTTAAACCAGTGTTGTTTTACAATATAATGGACCAATCAAAAGTGTTTCTTTATTTTATACACAATAAAGTCTTATGTACAATAAAAGTATTTTGTTAACAATAAGCTATTAAATCATGAATAATGTAATGTTATTATCTAGTTACAATACTTCTGTTGAGTTGTCTGCTACTTGAAGAATGAAAGATTCTGCACATTCATTTTCACCTTCAACTTTATTCTTGAAGCTCTGCCAATTTTTAGACTCATAATTTTGTATGACATTTTATTTATTTATTTAATTTATTTTTTAAATTGTTGAAATTTTTAGACTCATCTACAGCTCTGATTGTTATCATCTACTGTCTGATTGTGGACGCATCTAAAATCTCTTAATTTCTCATTTTTACCTGTGGAGGTATACAGAGCTAGCATACTTGCCTGATTTAAAAATTATTCACAAACAAACTATTATATTCTTAAAAATATTGATTTCCAACTTTTAAATGGTAGTATGAATATGTATTTTTTAGACACTCATTGCAGAATGTAACATGTTTGGTATGTGGAGGATGAAGTGAAGTGCCTGGTGCGAATTCTTACAGTAACTGGAGATGATCCTGCCTCCTGATTAGAGCATTCTTCTTGTTAACCAGTGTGAACCACTCCTGAATTAATGTCTCTTCCTCCACACGATCACTACCTACAAGAAACAGTAACTCCATTACTATGACAATATGACAAGCAATATTCAAAGCTTGGCTCTGGCTGTGGTAAGGGGTCAGCCTGACAATAGAAAATCATATACAGCTTACGGAAACAGCAGTTTAGTTGAAGAACTGAGCAAAGAAAGAGTCTGACTTTGCAAGAGCTGGAAGTGGTTTATAGTTGATTATTTGTTTCTTTAGTGTACTTCAAATCTCACTTCACTTTCACTTTTTTCTTCCTTCCACTCATCTTTCTGTCTCTTGCTCACACATACATACAGTTGACTTACCAGACTCCATAAGTCTTCGTAGTTTTCTCTCCACAGTTCCAGCCCTGTGATCTATCTGCCTCTGCTCTGTCTCTAGAGCCTGCATCTCACTCAGGACATACTGACTGACATCCTTCACACACACACACACACACACACACATCACCCACAACATACAAAGACAGAACAAAGAGTAAGAAACTTTGTCATTAAATGTTAGTTAAAACGGAAGCTTAAGCTTACAATGTCTACTGCTCAATTTATTTATAAACAGTAAAAAGTTTTTTAAAAAAAAGGTATTTTTAATAGCTGTCATTTATAATTCCTTTTCATTTATTAAGTGTGTAGGATACTGGAAACCTACTTATTTTAAGAGCCATGAAATCTGCAGCAGGTGCAAGGCCATGTGTCTGTTTTACAGAATTACAGAATAATCTGCCACATTATACTTGGCTTTACACCTTGGCTGTTTTTAAATTGAAGCTGTAAATCTAGCTAGACAGAGTTTCAGCTAAAACATTCACTCTCCTGTGACAATGCTGTATTCAATTATATCTTATTTCAAGCTTATTGTTTTAACATCTTCTTTCACACCCTTTATTTTGTTTGTTTTATTTCTCTATAAAGAACCTTGTGTTGTTCATGGCACTGTATGAATAAAACTGTCTTGCCTAGGTGGGATGTTTGACATGCATAACAGCTTGTTTTATTAATTCTCTGCAATATCTGTTTATAAGTTTATCTTAAACAGAAATATGACTCAGAGAAGCTGCCAAACTGACCTGGCTATATCTTGCTGTTCTTTCTTCACCACCCTCTACATTTGCAGCTATAAAACAAAGACACACACATACAAACAAATGATAAAAGGCCCAAGGGACAGCATACACTACAAGTCACCAAATTTCTAAAACCAATTTTGCAATAACAACTGTACCACCATTCACAGTACAGTAATTTTCTAAAAGATAACTGGTGATTGTGGATTATTGCCAGTTTTTCTCTCAGGAAAGTAAAGGCCTTTGCTTGTTTACAGGATCTGCCCAAAAGAATTACATAATAACCTGTTACGTAAAGATGCCTTAGACTTTAATAGGGTCTGGCATTGTATATGCAGATTGTCATTCTTAGGTATTTGTAATTTCACCTATGAGACTCTCAACTATATATAACAGATAAACTATAAATTCTGTGTAATGTTCACATCATTGTAATTTGTCATGTCACATGCAATAAACATTAGTCAGAAGATCAGGAGCTGATCAATATCACTACCGCCTGACAGAGAACCTGAGACTGCAGTGTACAATGAATTATGATGTTAAGAGATGTAATCTAAGTGTGTGCTTACGGGATCCTGGTCGTCCTTTTGCTGCTCCACTGTCTGCACGACCTGACGCACTCTGTGTGCAAACAACAAATGAGTTAACTGCAAAGTAAAAAAAAGTATCCTACTAGTCGTTTTTCAAACTACATTTCACATTTGTAAACAAACACTGTTGGCTTAATCACAAGAGACAGGAATTCTAAGAGAGGGCTTAGATTGCTATGAAACAAATGAAAAAGTGACCACAAACACAGCACAGTTGTTTTATATCTCTTAGGGAAGCACTGATATGACATTTTTTATAAGCCATACAAAAGGTAATTGACACCTTGTTATGCATGATATTGATTCTGATATGATTTTTGCTTTTTAAAAAGAAATGATATTATAATCCAGATCATTGCTGTCTAAAAAACAGAACTTTCCCTTTTTTTTATTTACTTTTTTTCAATTTTTGTCTACATTGTTTGAGCCCAAAAGCTGCCATTTACATTTGATGGAAATTCATGATAAAATTACTTAGAACTAAATATCTTTACATTAACTTACATTAAAGGTTATGAAAGTTCCTGCCTTCTCTTGTATAGTTACCACTTTGATGATGTTTTTTGAACAGCAACTATATAGTATAGTGAGTATAAGACAGGTTAAACAGTGGTGTTATACACCAGTCTATACATTTTACTGTACATTTAAAAATAAATGGTACATATAGCCACCACTAATGACTATATGTGAGTTAGTGGATGTGTGTGTACAAAGTTATTAGTTTTTTATTACTGGTTGTGATTCCTATATGAAAATTATAATAATCATTTTGCCATTTATCAGCAAATAACATATCTAGCATCCCAAAAATCTTTAAATTTTCCTTGTTCAGAAACTGTACAGGACATGCTCCAGACTCCACTGAAGCCATTTCTATATCGTGATCTTGACTTCTGAATATGTGAATTTTTTATGTATAATTTTTAACCACACTACCTCTGCTGCTGTTTGCTTCTCTGCCAGTTCAGCCTCATCAAAAGACTCCCCTCTCAGCTGGGATCGACGCTTCTTTACCAAATCTGCATCCCTGACATGAGCAAAAACCCTTGGTAGAGGAAGAGTGAGTCCTTGGTGGGGCCACTGGTGCTTGGGCACCTCCAGAGCCTCCAGCCTGACTCGTCCCTTGAGTCCGCTTAGCTCGAGGTGGTGGTACAATAGTCCTACTGCTATCTGTGTCCCCCTTTACCCCTTTATCAGAGACATTCCCATTGGTCTCTTGAGAAACATAGCTGCTTTGTAGCCTCTCAGCACAATAGCGAGCAGCAGCCTCAGGGTCCGCTTCCTGTATCTTCTCCCCAACCACATAGCTAGACTCACTGCTGTTCTTTTCTATCTGCACCACATTAAGCTCCTGGCCAGTAAAGTGTGTTCGGATCTGGTTGAGGTAAGTCATAACAATGAGTCGGTCAGGTACAGCCAGCATCACCATGTCAGAGGGCTCCATTAGTCTGGAGATGCCCAGTGCAGCAAAGCCATCAAAAGCCTGTGAGGAATCAGTTCAGCAGGAATTAGAAAAGAAAGTTGTGCCAGTATTAATCATAAAAATGATTAAGAACATGATACCCTGAATATAATTATAAAAAAGAAAAAGATCTAGATTTAGGTTGTTTTTTACTTGAAGGGAGCACATTACTTAGTATTTTTTTTTAGTGAAATTAAAATCATCAATAGAAGGCTTATGTTAATAACAAACATTCTTAGCGCAACAGCAGAATTGTGCATTCTGGTAAGAGGAGCAGAGGTCTTGTGCCTTTATCATTTAAAATTTAGTAACTGAAAGTTGCTATGTTTGAGGAAAATAGTAAGAAGCACAAGTCTCACTGGCTTAATTTGTTGCCATGTTCTTATATTACTGAGAAAAACACATCGTAAAAATGTTGTTGCAATAAAATTTTGAGTTAATTGAACTTGTAATAATAAGTTAACAGTTTTAATTGAAAATTGTATGTAGTTATGTAGCTCCAAAAAGGGTCAAAATATCCAGTCAACAATGATGAAAACAACAGAATTTATCTTTTTTGCCAATGCTAATAGATCGTTTAACTTAAGGAAGACAAGTTCCTGTTTTACCGGGCTAACTTTGGATTAACATAATGTTCTCCATACCATGATTCTGGCCAATCACATGTTAGTAAAACTGACTTGTTACTTTTACTTAAACCAAAAGCATTCGATACAAAAAGATTGTACTAGCAAATTCTAGTGAGAATCATCACAAAAAGCTGTTCATTTTTTCCCTGTCACCAATACTTGAAATATAACGCAGTGATAATGCTTAAGTCTAAGAATTAATTAATTTTGTGGTGTTAATAACTGATTAAATAACTGGTTATCTGCCTTCATTTAATCAAATCAGGTGTAGATCATTCCAAAAAGAACTGATTTTTACCTGAAAAAATGTAGCATGCCTGCTACAAAAGGCAAAATGAACAAAAGGTAAAAAGATGTAACATCACCTTTTTGTTGTTCCGTTTGATGTCATAAGGATCTAGCATTTCATAACCCCTAGACGAAAGGAAAGATGACACATATACATGTTTGTTGGAGCAGTCAGATGATTATATCCTCATACTTCCATTTGCTGTTACATTAAACATGTTTATTTCTCATCTACTGAAGTACCTACACTTTGTTGGGGTGGAAATGATGTAGGATGGCACAGAAAGCAAGTCCATTCCGCCATGAAGTGCTGAAGTTAGTGATCTTTACCCCTTTATAACCTTGCGTGACCTTTTGGCACCACTCTAGCAGAGACTGGCTAGAGTCCACAAACCTTACTGTCTGGTATTACAGAAGACAAATGGTCAATGGGTAATTTGCAAGACTGATATGCTGAAAAAAATATACTAAATACATAAATACAGTGCAAAATGCTAATAGTGTACCTCTGTCTCACTGGATGAAGCAGTATTATCTACAGAACTTCCATGATGGCCTATGGCTTCTGCTTCTGTTTTCTTCTTGCTCCGAAGGCGAACAACTGGTTCAGTAACATTCTGACTCGAAGCCCCTTGTTGGTCAGATGATTCATCATTGGGAGATGCAGTGCTGTCTGGGAACGAGCCACTTAGACGTTTCTTCACACGAGGCATTGCAACAGGTAGACTAGAAGATTCCTCAGCGGCTTCTTGTCTAGGAAACAGAAACATTAACAAAAAAGAAAAAAGACTGAATTCTATGCAGACTAAGACACCACATTCATTTTCATTGCTTGTTGTTGCATTGTCATGTTGGACTGACAATTTTTCAGTTGCATTAGGTGTAAAAAAACAAACAAAGAAACAAACAAACAGGCACACAACCATTTGAAACCCAAGTAAAAAAAAAAAAAAAAAAACAATATTACAGATTTCCAAGAAATGAAATCTGGAAATTAATAGTACATAAACAGGTAAATCAACTTATAATGACATCCTTCACCCACACCAGTGAATCTAAAACTCTGTTCTTCATGACTCACCTTATTAAATCTAAGGCAATTGCAGTCTCATCTAAAGAAACAGAGCCCAAAGGAACCTTATCCTCTCTTTTTTCCTTCTTGTTTATTTCTATTTCCTGATTTTTATCACTGTCTTTCACATAATCAGTATTTTGACTGTGAACTGTGACTATATTAGTCTCACTTAGCATTCCAGCTTTGGCAATCTCTCCAGCTGTGTGTCTGATGACCCCTTCAAACTGTTGTCTGTTGTCTTCATGAATAGTCGAAGGAGACTCTGGATGGACTGTAGCCTTATTCTCAGTATCCAACAGTCTCTCAAAGGACTCTTCATGGGTTTGCTCAAGCCCCTGGATGTTGTCTTCTGAAGACATTTGTGAATAAGGTAATACGGATTCACTTCCCAGGGGGAGAGGAGCTTTGCTTTCAGTTGGGTCCACAAAGGAGGAAACTTGGGTATCTCCAGTAGGGCTATCACCTGGAAAAGTAGCACTGAGGTGCTTCTTTGAACGAAGTATTGGAACAGGTGGACTTTTCTCTTTTTCCCCTTTATCAAGAAAATGTGAGGTCTCCTCTGCTCTTGTTCAGACATAGGGATTTCCTCCGTAAAAGAGCCACTAAGGCGCTTCTTTACACGTGGAAGAGGTACAGGTAAATTTGAGTCACTAAGGTTCTGAGGGACCTGTCTGTCAGCTGTATCTGTTTGAATGGGAATGGAGGCTGAGGTTGTTGATATGTCAGCATTAAAAGAACCACTTCTTTGTTTCCTCACACGTGGCACTGGGGCTAGAAGAGCTGTCGGCTTGACTTGGCTTGACCTTTCTTCAGCAACTTTGATTTCACGCACATTTTGTTCCAGCTGTCTTCTGCCTTTCAACTCCTCGCTAGCCTGGGTATCAATAGCTGTTTTTGTGACAGTCTCAGAGTCAAATATACCTATGTTGAAAATTGAGGGCAGCTGATTCTTCTTCTCCATGTCAGTTTCACTTTCACTACCATTAGCTTTAAATATCCCACTCAATGAAGGAATATTTTCTTCTATCTTTCTAGGGTGTGGTATCAATTCCTGAGGGGGCTCTGGTTGCTCCTTACTAGTAGATCCTTGAGTCCCACCAGTGGACATTTTTGTTTCGGTTGAGAAATCTTCCCCAGCAACATTTGGGTAATCATCCGGGAAAGAAGCACTTAGGCGTTTCTTCACTCGAGGCATTGGGACAGGTAAATCAGCAGGAAAGTGCACAATGCTTTTAGCTACAGAACTTTCCTGTGTAGTTGCTGGGCTTTTTTCTGAAGTATTTCTGATAGTATCTTTGTGGCTAGACTCTTCTACTTGCTTATCCTCAATTACAGCCTCAGGAATACCTCCTTCAGTTCTCTGCAACACATCTGATCCAACAGAAACACTTTCAATCTGAGAATTCCTTTTCAACGATTCCTCAGTTAGGTTATTATTTTTCTTGCTGCGACAAGGTGGGACAATAGCTGGAACAGAGCAAGGAGTGATTGGTTCTAGGTCATCAGTGACTACTGGTGTAGAGGGGTCTGAAAGACTGTCTTTCTTCCTAGTCCGCTGTGGTGGAACTGGCTGATTAGATGTTAAAACAGCTGTCTCTTCAGTCCCAGCCTCAAGTTTTTGTGGGACTGGTAGAGAGGTTTTCTCCAGTGACTTGCTTCTTGGAGGTTGGAGGAACTCAGACACCTCTTGAGCTCTATGAATCTCGGTCCTTAAGAATAAGAATACAAAATCACTACCAGATATTTATAATTGATGTCTCAGATGAACATCAATTAGTTCATCATGATTTCCACAACATTCTCACCAAAAACCACCAAACCCACGTTCCACACAACTGTTATTCCAAAAACAAACAAAAAAAAACCCTCAATCGATATCAGTTGATAGCTGAAAGCATTAAACAAACACAAACTCACTTAAGATCCATGCGCCACATATTAAAGCCTTTGACAAAACAATTAAATTAAACCATTAGACTACCGGACAAAGACATGTGAGGTTGCTTCAGGATCAAAAGGTTTGGGATGTAAAACGTGTGCTACTGGCAAAAACTAACAAACAAACAAACAAAAAACAAAATAAAACAGTCAAACAAAATTCACACTTAAGCCATGCTGCCACTCAAGAAACTGTGGGTCCACACTCACCCCTTTTCTATCAATAATGTTGACATTGCTGCACTCAACTCATCCTCAACTGGCTTATTCAAGTGCTCTTCTTTACCATTCTTACTGTGATCAAAAAAATGTCCTTTTAGGGTTGTTCTGCTGTCTTGAGTTGAAGTGTCCAAAACTGTTCTGATCTCCTCTTCTTTAGTGATCTCATGTAGGTCAGCCTCTGTCAGTGGTGGCCACTTCTTCATCAGCTTATAGTCTCCATCCTCACTAAACCAATTTTCAGCATCTTTAGAGGACAAGGACGATTCAGATCGGCCATCAAACAAGCGCCACTTGTTTAGCTCGGCACTTATAGGGAAGTGAGGCTGAGATGATGACACAGGCAACATTTTCTTCAGGAGTGGCTCCTCAGCAGGTTCACAAGGAGGTTCTTTGGGCTTGACAGCAATGTCGTTTTCAGACTCCCTCAAACAAGAGGGGTCATCAATCGCTCCAGAACCAGAGGGCTGCAACATGGCAGCTACTGTCTCATAACTAAGAAAAATGGAGAACTTTAGTAGAAGAACAAAAAAAGAGTACCAATTCTTGAAATCCAGCTAAAATGTATCTTGTAATTACAATCACACCAAAATTTCACAACACATTCATCCATTCCTATGCTATTACTCCTCAATTTTATCCTCAAGAGGCCACCATGGGTTCAAATGTTTGTTCCAAAAAATCTTGTGTCAACATATCTCAATTGCCATGAGCTCTGTAATGCCTAGATTTCATGTGTTTGAAATACAGGCACACGTGGTTAAGAACAATGGTGTAGACACACTATATTTTGTCACATCTAGCACAAGAATGTGACACAATGCACTTTCTGTGCATCTATAACAGGGGACAAACCTGTTAAACAAAGAATATTCCAAGAACGCATACTACCAAAAATTAATCAGAGGCTTACTTCATCAACCTGTCATGCTGCATCTACATTCTTGCTTACCCTTTGTGAAAGACACCAACTATGGTCTGAACAAGACCTGCTGATCCCTCTTTTTCTGTAAAAGGATCCTCTGCCTCCAGTACCTCCCATCCAGAGGTTATATCAGTGTCTGACAGGTCTGTAGTATCGTGGGCTTGGCATGGAGATGACCGCTCCACAACTTCATATTCTTTCAAGGACTCTTCTTCTTGTTGAGAGCTTTCGCTGGGGGGCGGACAACTTAGGACATTTGAATAGTCCAAACCTGTACTCATGCCTAGTGCTTCTCTCATGTTTCTCTTCAGAACACATGCTCACAGAACCAGTTCTCTTTAAATGACATAATTGTCTTTTGCGGATATATAACAAACACACACACATGCCTTGAAGTAAGCACTTTTAGTATTTTTATAAATAATAAGTTGAACTTATCAAAGGTTTATAAGATGTAAGCCAGCACAAATTTCAAAACATGCCAACTAGAAAGACAAAAGCAGACTTGCCAAAAACCTAGACTGTAAGTAGCCATTGTGATTACCACCACTCTGATAATGCTAATTTCCACTACTTCTATGGGACTTACAAAGCAGCGCTAGCACCAAGCATACAGCCGTGTACTGTTGTTGGTGTACAATAGTGTTGTAGAAACCTAGGCTATAAATAGCCTTCATTTAGCCTTTGTTTTGATTTAGTAGTGTTAGTGCCAAGGTGGTTGGTGGTTACCCATCACAAAACCAAGCTCTTACACAGGACACAATTAGTATCTTTTTGGCGATTTATTTACTTCATATACAGGCAATTTGACAGTACAAACATAAGTGAACTTGTGACATCCTGCTGGTGTGAGTTCATTCCAGTTTTTCCTCTTTCAATAATGCACACAAGAACTACTGAAGTGCTGATAAGCATGCCATAGGTAGAAATAAACTCACCCTTTGCACATGGACATTTCTGTAATCTTTTCAGTCTTCAAGGGTTTATCTTTAAAAAGATAAAAATTATTTCCACTCTGCTGTCATGAAATATTGCTGTGTTAACCATACCGCACTCTGAAAGCATGCTTACCAGATGCTTTGACATCCATTGCTAGATCCCATTCTACTGTGATATGATGTGTAACAGTTGGACTGGAAGTTGGTGCGTTCAAATTGGTTTGTATGAAATCAGGATTAGACACAGACAACGATGGGAATCCAGGAATTTTTGCTTCATTTGGGCAACAACACACCAAAGCAGACATGTTTGTTTTGTCTTCAGTTGTGGGGAAGGTAGTGAAAATGACAGCTACCTTTGTCCCCAGAGGCTTTGCCCAATATAGTGGCCAATAAGGCATTGTTTCCTCTGCTTGAGCCATTTGTTTTCTAGATGGCATTCCAGGAATACTTGATACATTTGGGCAAGAAGATAAGAGGGCAGTCATCATGTGCTCCACTTTTGTGAGCTTGTTTGCAGATGGAAATCCAGGAATTCTAGCTTCATTAGGACACACTGGCAAAAGCAGTGCCATTTTTGCGTATCTTTCAAAGTCTTTGATTGTGCTTGTAGTTAAAATTGATGTCTCTTTCTCTGGTTTAACCCATATTGACTCCT